CAGCTTTACAATTAGTTTTGTAAATAGGTGCCAAATGCATTATGTTACTAACAGGGATGGACTGACAACTCATGGGGCCCCCGGGCAATAGGGGATCATGGGGCCCCTGTGTCCTTGCCCAAACTCAAAAAAACCTATGAAAAAGTTACCAGGGGCATCTCTACTGACCCCGGGCCCTCGGGCAGTGCCCAAGTATCCAAATGGTCAGTCCGCCCCTGGTTACTAATTATGGAAAGAACAATTTTTGAGTCAAAGGGTTAATTGTGCTGCCCTCTGTGGTACCCTTCACACTTTTCCCCTGCACATACTGCCCACAGTCATACCAACTGTACTCCTCTCCTGCACATACTGTCAGCCATCAAATACTTCACATGTCTTTTCTGCACATATTGTCCATCATCATACCCTCCACACTGTATAAGATAAAGTGCAGTGCTAAATAAAACAATAAGAGAAATGATCACAGTAAAATCCAAATAGGAATAAGTCTGTGGGTATATGGTAAGGTGAATCCAGAAGTAGGAAGAAATCAAGATGCTGGTGCTCTGAAGGAATAAGATTGCGCACTTGCCAGATGTGCATAGGGTATACGCATTAATTTATCCACCTCAGGACACTTAGGGTATGAGGTATGGTAGGTGTATGAAGAACATCCTTCTAGGAAAAGGCAGCACACCGGTCAATGGGTGAAGTCTGCTTAATCCAGAGGTCCCCTTTAGGATGGATAGCGTCAGCCACCTGCTTACAGTGATTCCCTTCCTCTGGATACTGGATCACTGGAAATCTCCACTGACTCTGAAACTTAATGGCTCCCTAAAGAAGCCATAAAAAAGGTGCCCATAGTGTAGTATTTAACTTGTAATTTATTTATTACATGAATATAGCAGTACAGTGATTAAAAGCAAGGTGCACTGACCTATTCTCTGGATATTTTTATTCTGTTGACGGAATTGGCATGTTTTAATAAAAGCTGAGTTTTTACTTCACGATATGTCCATACCATATTTCCTTTTAATTGTGACGTTTCATGGTGGTGGAAGGGATGTTGAAGATGCAGTTTATACTAGGAAGCCTTGTGATGTGGATTGCGCTTGAGTGCTATTGAATATTTATGATCTATTGGTCCATACCATCTGGTACGAGATTCCTTGTATTAGTGTTGCACGGTGCTGGAAGTACTGCTTTTACAATTGGAGACAGAAGTACAGTGGCGCCGTGAGTCAATATATGAATTGCCATATATCACAGATTGTTCATTCAGTGAAATCTTCAGTGAACTTTTGGCACAAAGCACTTGCACTTTTGTTTGTTTATTACTATGCACTTGCATTTTATATGGTATATCTATATACTTCTTGCACTTTATACATGTGAATGGGTGCAAGTTTTTAATGTATATTTGAGAATTTAGTGCTGATTTAAGACATTTTGAATTTGGTTAATTGATATTACACTTGTATGGTAGCAGGTTTATTCTGTATTTTTGAAAATTCCCTCAGCTTGGAATACATTTTTATTTTACTTTTGTTTTATGTAAACATGGGACTGCCAAACTCACATAAAGCAGTCAAAGGCCCAACAACATGGGCCTCCTAATCAGATATACACAACTGAACATTGCTGAAAGTAGTGGAGTTGAAGAGTACTTTGAGTATTCTCTTGGGTGTCCTTCGACTCTGACCTAGGACCACTTGCTGGAAGCATAGCAAGAATTTATACATATATTCGTGAATTCAATATATCCACATACAAGTCACAAAAACAGCTTTAAAAAATCCTCAATGCACGCCTCAATCAGAGACAGCAACATATGCACTGAGCAATACTGTACACTTTTCCAGCTCCTTTAGTTTCAGCTTTACATTTGCTGGGTGTGCAAAGAATCTACAACATAAACATGCCAGTCCTCTTCATAGTGATTTCTCTCTGCTCTTCTAGTGCGTTTCCTTTTGGCATACTGAATACACCTGTTAGACTGCTAGTAAAATCTAAAGCCGGGAATGCGTGAATTGCATCATGTTTATGAACAAATATACTTCAAAAGATTCTCAAATTACAGTGAATATATTAAAGATTTCCTTTAGCTTTATCTTTCCATCTTTATTAATAGCTATTGCATATGTGTTGTCTGACCACAGTCAAACTTTTTTTTCTTCTTTGTCTTAGCACAAGACAAGCCCTCTGGTGTCTCTGTCTCTGGTTCTCTACAAGAGTGCTGATGCAGTTAATTGGAGCTTCTTGAAAGTGCACATTAACATAGGGAAAACTCGGCAGACGTTTTTGGCAGCAAAATATCATTATCACTTCTAGAGCCCCAGCCAAAATCCCCTTGCGGTCAAAACACAATTCTTAAACTAAACAATTAAAAATTTGTGCAAGTGTTACAGCAAGTCTCTCCAAGGCTGGGAGCTTTTTCGTGTCTGTGTAAGAGAAGTTAACAAGCTAGATGATGGCTTTTACTGAAGCAGCCTAAAGATTATCTGGAAACTGTGGTGAGATGCTTTGGCAGCAGGCAGATATGCTCTAACGGTCCAATCATCAAGACATCAGGCTAAGGTTGGTTTCATATTGAATGCCATGATTTGTTTTTAAATTAGAAAAATAAAGAAAAGTACATTTCAGTCAGTACAAATGTCCATAGCAACAGATCAGTGTAGTACTGTATATCTCAAATTTCAGTGCCAGGCATGTGGTTTTGTTAGAGAAAATAAGACTTTTGTTGTCTGACCCAAAGTTCTGAACAGTTTTGGACCAATAAATATGTATAATGACCACCCAGAGTGGCAGACATGGTGATTGTATAGAGGTAATAACTATCCCTACTGCTTGAAATCCATGTACAGTATATATCTGTGTCCACCTACACGATTGTGGTATAGCCCTTTATATGCACTATTTAACTACCAAAAGTGTTGTTACAACGCAAAAAAAGAAGGGCCACATGGAGATGATGTCACTTCAATAAACTTTATTCAGCTGTACAATGCATGATGAGTGTACAATTTTATTATATACTGATGAACATTTTATTTATTTGAAACCTAACTCTGGGTTTACTTTGACTTTAAATACTGTAGTTTGATTGGGCCAAGCTCGTCCAGCACTGTGCAATCAAAACCATATCAAACATAATCTAATGCAATAAAATTGAAATCAAGTGATGGCCCACCGACTGTGCTTACATGTTAATAGCATGCACTTCAAAGGAACATCTGGGACATGAAGCTGAGCAAAGTGAATGAATGCACTTACAGTCAGAGGATCAATAAAACCCCCAACATTTCAAGCTTCAATAGTGGGTGCACCAGGTATCAAACATGGAGTGAGGATGGGCTCTAGTGGCCAACACTCAGCATGCCTGCTGTGAAGGGAGGCTATTGAAGCTTAGCACGGTTGAGTTTTAGATTCCCTTCGAACACCAAATGTGTTATGCTGCACTAAATTTTTCACCCAACCTCTGTTTTATTGCAATTGTTCTGAAAAGTTAGTATAAAGCAAAATATACTTCTAGATTTAACCATTTATTCTTAGCATATTCTTCATAGTAGGTGCAACTGAGGGTGTGACCGAGATGTGCACTTACATACCTGCCTACATACTGTGTGATAGATAGTTTCCCTTTTTCTCAAATTATTGTCTAGTAAGGACAATAGTAACTACAAATAAAGGTGCATTATCTTAATGTAGCACCCTCATAGTGTAGGGGAGCTAGACCCTAATAGTTAGCCAGGAGTTGGTTAGAAGCTCAGATGTGATAGCCAGAGGAGTCAATTTGTGGTCCGGGATGAGAGACTCTGCAGGCCAGCCCCTCTGAAATCTCTCCCTGCTCTGAGGCTTTCAGAGGAGGGTCTTGGAGGCAGCGGGGGGATCTGAGCAGTGGCTGGCTGCACTCTTGAGGGACCTTAGTCAATCCCCAACAAAAGGTTTGGCAAGGGGCTGGGACTCCCTTAAAAGTGCAAAAGCCTGCTCAGTAGCAGGAGTCAGGTAGTGGAAGAGGAGTGTGGAGCAGGATGATGTGAGGCTGGAGGAGGAAGGTTGCCAGGAGGTCTAGAAGAAGAAGTTTGTGAATAGTTTCAGGACGTTGTCCTCAAATATCAGTTGCCTTGGGCATCCTATACCTCACTTACCCGATCCAAGTTCTTATCCCCTCAATAAAATAACAAATTAAATGCTCAAGGACTGATTTCTGTCTTTGGCTGAGAGCTTGTGTGGAAAATACTGAATGACTGGCTGTGCAAGACTATAGGGGGACCCAAATCTCTTAGCAACCCACAAAGGGGTAGTGCTACATTAATTTTTATATTGATACTATTAGGTCTGGTGACAGGGTCTGTATAAGCATCCTTTGCCATAAGAGCAACCTCAAGATTAGAGATGAGCGAATTATTCAAAAATTCGATTCGGCTGATTCGCCGAATTTGCGGAATAAATTCGATTCGATGCGAATTTATTCGCTGCGAATTTAACTTATTAAAAGGGTTTCTAGGCTTCAGAGAGCCTTTATATTAGTGCAGAACACTGTACCTTTAATTTAAATGCCCTTGGAGTCTGCTGGGGAAGAGAAATAATACTGTCAGTCAGTATGACATGCAGATGAGTGCCGTCGATCTTAGAATCACCGCACACTTCACTCATTTGGGCAGTCACGGGGCCAAAACCAGAGTGTGGAGCCACAGTGTGGCGGTGGAGGCAGCAGCAATGGGAGGCCATACAGCACCCTATGACAAAATGGAACCCACCAGCAGTGTGAAGAGACCTGAAAGTGGCACATGGCAGAGTGTGGCGATGGAGACAGCAGCAATGGGAGGCCGTACAGGGACCCATGACACACTCTGGACCTGGCAGCAGCATGAGGAGGCGGTACAGGGGCCCATGGCAGAGTGGCGAAGCGTAAGCAGCTTAAATTGAAGGCCATACAGAGGCCTATGTTAAAAAGTCCCCCCAGCAGCAGTGTGGGGAGACGACTATCAAGAGTCCAATGGCAGAGTGGCGGAGCAGAAGCAGCTTCAATTGAAGGCCATACACAGGCCTAGGTTAAAAAGTCCCCCCAGCAGCAGCGTGGGGAGACGACTATCAAGAGTCCAATGGCAGAGTGGTGGAGCGGAAGCAGCTTCAATTGAAGGCCAATAGTGGTTGTGAAGCAGAAAGTCAGTTTATTGTACACAATCGGTCAATTGCAGCTTGCCGTTGGCTGGAAACTGTACGTTTGTGTCACTGGAATGCACTAATCACCCAAAAAATATTACCGCCAGCCGGCGTGTAAATGGATTTAACTCTTTGAACGTACAATAGTGGTTGTGAAGCAGAAAGTCAGTTTATTTTGCACAATCGGCAAACTGCAGCACCAACTGTGCACGACAGCCACCAAAAAAAAAGGGTGTATGTCACTTTAAATTTTCGATTCTTTGATAGCTGTGGCCCTAAGTAATGATTCTGTGTCCCTGAGTAACGATTCTGTGTCCCTGAGTAACGATTCTGTGGCCCTAAAGTCTCTGTGGCCCTAATGCAGGCCATAGATGGGTCGAAAATCGGCCGATTTTTCGGCCGAAAATAAAATCGGCCGATTTTCGGATCGTTAGTAGGCTATTTGGTCAGCCGTTTTTCAGTATTTTGGCCGGTTTTTTTTTCTGTAAAGTTGGAAAACAAAACGGCCGATTTTGCCGATCGGCCGATTTTCACGGCAATAGTGGGCAAATCGGATGAAAAAGAAGAGGATGAGGAAGAGGGAAGAAGAAGAAGAAGAAGAAGAAGAGGATGAGGATGAAGAAGAAGAAGAAGAAGAGGATGAAGAAGAAGAGGAGGATGAGGATGAAGAAGAGGATGAGGATGAGGAAGAAGAAGAAGAAGAAGAAGAAAAGGATGAGGATGAAGAAGAAGAAGAAGAGGATGAGGATGAGGAAGAAGAAGAAGAAGAAGAAGAGGATGAGGAAGAAGAAGAAGAAGAGGATGAGGATGAAGAAGAAGAAGAAGATGAGGATGAAGAAGAAGAAGAGGATGAGGAAGAGGAAGAAGAAGAAGAGGATGAGGAAGAAGAAGAAGAAGAAGAAGAAGAAGAAGAAGAGGATGAGGATGAAGAAGAAGAAGAAGAAGAAGAGGATGAGGATGAAGAAGAGGATGAGGATGAAGAAGAAGAAGAGGATGATGGTGAGGAAGAAGAAGAAGAAGAAGAAGAGGATGAGGATGATGAAGAAGAAGAAGAGGAGGATGAGGAGAAGAAGAAGAAGAAGAAGAAGAGGATGAGGATGATGAAGAAGAAGAGGATGAGGATGAAGAAGAAGAAGAGAATGAGGATGAAGAAGAGGATGAGGATGAAGAAGAAGAAGAAGAAGAGGAAGAGGATGAGGATGAAGAAGAAGAAGAAGAAGAAGGATGAGGATGAAGAAGAAGAAGAAGAAGAAGAAGAGGATGAGGATGAAGAAGAAGAAGAAGAAGTAGGATGAAAATAAGAAGAATTCCAGTCCAGCAAAAAGTGTATCTGCAGAGAGCTCCGCTATTTCTGACAGTTCTCTGACAGTTCCTTCACATTTACAGCGGTTGAAACATTGTATCTATTTGTTTCCGAATAAAAACATCTGTATCCTAAATGGAAACAAATAGATACAATGTTTCAACCGCTGTAAATGTGAAGGAACTGTCAGAGAACTGTCAGAAATAGCGGAGCTCTCTGCAGGGACACTTTTTGCCGGCTGTAGAAGGGATGAAAATCGGCCGATCGGGGAAAATTTGATTCGTGCATCCGAAGTTTGCTAATTTTCGGATTCGGCGCGAATCGAATTTTTCCTAATATTCGAAACGAATTCCACTTCGTCATGTTCGATTCGCTCATCTCTACTCAAGATAACAGAGGTTAACAGTGAAAATATTTCCGCATATAAACTATGTAGATATTCTCAGTGTAAGTCTTAGATCGGGAGGCTAGGTTATGACATCCTTTTCAGCTGATAATGGGAAAAACTATTCAGGGCAGAGTGATGAATCATAGAAATCCTCTCCTACAGAAGCTGAGAAACCATGTGTTCTCCTCCTGCTCTTCCAGCATAACTATCACATTGACTCGAAGGGCATCCCTTTTCTTAGCCATCACGCTGCGTAAGAAAAGATGCCTGTCTGCCAGTAAGAGTGAATACAATGCTGGGGCATCATTGCTTCTTAGTTTTATTCACTTAAATGGCAACATTACCTTTTACATTGTGTTGTCAGCTAAGCACTCACACCAACCACTAAGGAATTATTACAGTAGCTATGTTGTGAGAACAGGATGGAAGACACAAACAGCTGTCACAGCTACATGAGTATTTTCCCAATGCATATCATTGCCCTGAATGTTTTTTTTTTTGCCTAACATTGATCGAAAAATTTCAGTGTCATCGACTTCTGCATGGAAAACACAAATGTTTGCATGTGGAAAATGTATCCAGTGCTAGCCTTGGCTACTTGCATGGGGAGTGTTAAAACAAAAAGCACCTTTAAAAACACATGTAATACTCACCAATGAAGAAAGCATAGAAATAGATGGCTTCAACCCCTTTGGATCAATTAATAGAGTAGATCTTAGGCCCTTTAATATATTGCTGGAAGGTTGGCTTTATTGCAGAAGAGACTCTTCTGCAATAGAAACTGCTTTCCTGCTTGCCAGCATATGGACAGCTCAAAGTACATTGTTGGCATGCTTTTGGTACCAGGATGTATTAACTCCTGTGCACATCTGCAGGAGTCACATTATCCTGATCTCACCAGTCAAGATGACCAAAGACATCAAGCTCAGAAGAAGGCCAAATGAAGATGTTAGCGGTGGCAATGCAGCAATGAGGCAGATCAGGCCATCACATCAATGGAGGATATACTTTACAGATATATGTGCCATAATGTGCAAATATGCTGTACACATTATGGCAGAAGGAGTTTACTGGTTCTAGATCCTTAAGGTGTAAACCTCAATGCATCCTCTGCATTAAGGTAAAAAACCTTCCGTGACAAAGATTCCCCCCCCCCCCCCCCAGCCCCCTTAAACTTACCTGAGCCCGATCTTGATCCAGCTCTGTGTCCAAGAGCAGTGCTGTTTTTCACTCTCTCACTTCCTACAGAGCAGGTTAATAGAAACAAGAGCTATTGGCTCCCGCTGCTGTCAGTCAAATCCTGTGACAGGGCGGGGCCAAGCCGCGCTGTATGTGTCTATAGCTGCAGATAGAGTCTGCACGAGTGCCCCCACAGGAAGCTGCTTTCTCTGGGGGCACTTGCTAAAGAGGAGTCGTCAGGAGTGCTAGCAGGGCACCCCAGAAGAGGAGGATTGGGACTGATACATGCAAAACCGTTGCACAGAGAAGGTAAGTATAACATGCTTATTATTATTAAATAAAAATTAAGGTTTAGAATCAATTTAAGAACAACAATCCAGCATTCAAAAAAACTTGATGCAGACTGGCATGGCAAGGATGAAAGACCTAGAAGAAATATATAAAAAAAAATATTGATGTCTTTGAACTTTGGTGTTGGCAAAGAGTCCAAAAACTATTGCGGGCAGCTAGAAAAACAAACAAATAGATTCTTTAACAAATCAAGCCCAACCTTTCACTGGAAGCCCAGATGACTCGACTGAAGCTGTCTTATTTTTGGCATATTATGAGAAGAACTAACTAATGGGAAAAGACAATTATGCTTAAATAGGTTGAGGGAAAAAAGAAGAGAATGACCAGCAATTAGATGGTTGGATACAGTCACAGAAATTGTAATTTGACATTGAAAAAAATAAAGACCTAAATAGAAACTCATTCTGGAGAAACTCTATTCAGATGTGGTCTCCAGGATTTGGCATAATTTTGGCAATGCTTAATAAATAATAATCATAATAGTCATTGCCTACCTATATTTGTTTATTTATGTGCATCAATTCCTTAGTTTTAGCAACATATTTTATAAATAGAGTAACTACATAACAGTGTTTTTTCTCTTCTACTCAGACCCTCACCAAGGCCAAACTGAGACTCTTAGCTTGGAGCCTAACACGCATCAACATGGTACAAAGTGTCTCCTGCACTGTGCATGATTTGACTGTCAAACCTAGAATTTAAGCTGTTCATTGAGGAGTAGGTTTTTTTTTTTTCATTCAGCCAGAAATCCCCCCTCCCTCCAATGGGACATTAAATTCTGGCAGCGGGACCCAGAGCTGTCAGAATACACTGTTCAGCAGATGCAATCACAGATCGACAAGTTTTCCAATTTGTCCATTCAACAGAAGTCAATCTAACAATCAAGTTCTGTTGAACAGAGACCATAACACAAAGATCAAAATCTCCCTGCTAAAATGGATACATTTCAATCCCCTTATTCAGCTTTAACCTTGTAGAACCTTGTAAAAAGGAAATAAAGGCCGAAAAATATTGAAAACGAATGACAGATTGCAAATAGCAGAACTAACCCCAAAAATTCTTCAAATATATTAATAGTAAAAAGGTCCAGTCCGAGCATGTAGGCCCTTTACAAAATAATCTAGACTGGGTGACTGGGGACAAAGAGAAGGCAAATGTATTAAATATCTTCTTCAGCTCTGTGTATACAAAGGAGCATGGGGGAGCTCTTGTCCATAATGGACATGGTATTGACACAGCTCCAGATGATCCACATTGACTCACAGTTTATATGATCCAAAAATATTTAGACAGAATAAAGGTGAATAAAGCACCTGGACCGGATAACATACACCCACGGGTTCTTAAAGAATTGAAATCTGTCATTACAAAGTCATTGTTTCTAATTTTTATGGCCTCTTTAATGACTGGCATAGTACCACTGGATTTCCGTAAGGCCAATGTGGTGCCAATATTTAAAAAGATGTCAAAATCTTTACCAAGCAATTATAGACCTGTTAGTTTAACTTCTATAGTTGGGAAGATATTGGAGAGTTTATTAAAAGACCACATAGATGAGTTCTTGCTGGAAAAAAATATTTTAAGCAACAGACAGCATGGATTCATGAAAGATAGAAGTTGTCAAACAAATTTCTTTTAATGAGAATGTGAGCAAAACCTTGGACAGAGGGGTGGCAGTGGACGTGGTATACTAGGATTTTGCAAAAGAGTTTGACACAGTTCCCCACACACGGCTAATGTGTAAGGTAAACTCTACGGGCTTGGAAAAATCAGTATGTAAATGGGTAGAGAACTGGCTAATAGATCGTATTCAAAGAGTAGTGGTTAATGATTCATACTCTGAATGGTCTAGGGTTGTCATTGGTGTACCCCAAGGTTCAGTGTTGGAACCCTTACTTTTTCTTTCAATTCTTTTTTATTAAAGTTTTCAAGACAATAAAATAGTGGTTGACTGTACCAGTAGGTATAAAAAAAAAATCACAATTCTGTAAAAGTTATGCATAATGCATTCAGCAGTTACATTAGAATATCCAATACATGCATCAGAATATATCAGTGCACCTTTCAATTGACAAGCTGTCACATGCGGAACATATGGATCAAAATTTTTATCCATTGTGGAAACAGTCGAACAAAATTATACTAAAAGAAGAATAGAAGCTTAGAAAAGTGATATAAAAAGAAAGGGAAAAACAGAAAAAAAAAACCACCGAAAAGTAAAAGGAGAAATTAACAAATCCAACAGAATTCAACAAGGTAACATCATTTTTGCCATAGGATCCCTCACACTTATAGGTCGGAGAGCTTAAATAAATTGTTCCAACCTTGCCATTTAATTTCAAATACTCTTATAGTATGATTCGAGAGTGCATAGGATCTCTCATACAGGTAGTGGGAGTGTACTCTATTAAGCACTTCCGAAATAGGCAGAGGCATAGAAGATTTCCACGCTTTAGTAATAGTTAACCTAGCAGCAATTAAGATATGGGCAATAATTGTTCGAAATTGGACAGAAAATAAATTCAATGTAATGTTTAAAAGTGCCAAATGAGGCTTGGGATTTGTTTGTACTCCGGACACCCTAGATATCAATGCAAAAACTTCTCTCCAGAATTCCCTTATATGTGCACATTCCCACAGTACATGCAGCAAGCTTCCAACATCTCCACAAGCTCTCCAACAAACAAGTGAAGCATCGGGGTATATTTTTGAAAGTCTGTAGGGGGTGAGGTAGCTGCGATTTAAAATCTTAAGAGAGCTTTCCCAATGATTAGTACATTTTGAAAGACTAAAATTACAAGTCCAGGCTGCTTGCCACTCTTCTTGGGTAAAGGATCTCCTCAATTCCCTTCCCCACCTCTCCACACATGTTATCACTGAACTATCAGGATCATACTGCAGGAATCTGTAAACCCATAAAATTCCCTTTTTTAGTCCAGACGGATTCGATAAAAATGCCAAATCTTAGAGTCCACCTCCACCTCCAAATTGCAATTGACTCA